CAAGCATGTCATCAACAACTTAGGCATGTCGTAAGCACTTGGTCATTTCCCCCCTGCGAGGTACATCAAAGATCGATTTACAAATTTCCTCGCTGGCACCGAGAGGGCGCGGACTGTCGGACTGTTGTCCTTGTTGATTCAAGATCCCGCTGCTCTGGCAGGCGCCAAAGGAAATTCCTCCTTGGGCCCTGGAGGCTTCTCGTTTTGAATAGGAAGCATCACTTGCTGGTACTCATAAAAACATGAACCTGGGGATTCCCTTAAAGGAAGCCATATCGGGGATGGTCGAAATGTGGACATTCCATTTCTCAGGGCTTTTTGCCTATCGCGACATCAGCTCTATACTCGGCTGAGGTGACTTCAACAAACGCTTCCTCTGCTCTGGGCTCCAAGGCAGTGCCAAGCCTCTTGCCTCGATGCGCTCCCTTTCGTTCCGGCGGACCTTTAAAAGCTCATGATTTGGGTGTGGCTCAACATTTAGAGCCAGGGTTACGCCGGTTTTAGTCTTTGGTTCCATTTGCCAAGGTGCCATTTTGGGTACCTATTTTTGACCCACAGCCATTTAGCCATAGGTGGCCTTTCTAGGCGAGTTTGGTTACACATAGATGGGCTCAACTGGTTTAGATTGGTTTTATGCCCCATTTACCAGGGAAACCCACTTAGCATGTATCCTTGTCATGATGCTGAACCGCTTTCCTTTGCACCGCTTGCATTTGTGTCTTTGCTTATCCACCAAACATGGCTGACACCGGGCAATTCATGATTGGCCTGTAGCATGTGTACGGTCGAGACATTGTGCGCCAATGAAAATCTCAGGTGTGGATTCGCCCGTGGGCAGGGCCACGCGCTTGATCTCTTCAACCATGTGTGATCTTTCGCAGACTAGCAGACCAGGAGCCAACTACACTCAGAATGCTTGAATCCATTTAGGATTCAGCACTCAGGCAAGAGGCTTCAATGCCTTGGAAACAGTGCAGGAAGCAGCAGAGGCCTGGGCAAGGCAACCAATTGAGAGGCACATGCAGCTGATGCAGCTGCGAGGTGCTGTCAAGGTGCACCACGGCGGTGCAAGAGGAAGACCGGCCACTGTCTGCGGTGTCCATCGTTGAGGAGCTTTCGGCGCTGAGTGGCTCAACGGCTTGAAATCGCAAAAACAAAATGCAGGACATTGTGCCATTCGAGGGTACTAGTACGATGTCTAAGCGCAAACTGCCCATGCTGCCGACGCCTGGTTGCATGCTGCGCAAGGTGATTCGTTCGCTTGTTTGCCCAGTGATGTCAGGGCCCTACAGGCACCTGGCAATCGGTGCAGGGCTCGGTGCTGCGAGCAGAGGGTGCATGGGATGAAGTAGTTTGGCCGTGCGAAGAGGAAACGTTTACGCCCGAGGAGTGTTGCAAGCTCAAAAGGCTTCGCGGAGATGCGGCAGACGTTCAGGCCAGCCTTTGTGCGTCACTATGGCCACTCGCACGACTCGTGCGAGGGCGGATGACGATTTTAGAGCTCGTGACCGAGCGAAGGGGCACAAGCCGCCATGAACTCAGCGCCTAGCTGCGGAGCATCGTTCAACTTCGGAACCAAGGAAGCAGCGCTCAGCAGTGTCGCTGGGAATGAGCCGCTCCTTGGACGAGCTAGCAAGTGCTTCACAGTCTCCAACACGATATCCATAAACTCAACCAAGATTATGGCGCAGGCTCTTTTGTTCAGCGCAGAGAAGTTTGGTTTGTGGATTTGACAAGCTGCGTTTCACAGGCGCCTGTTAAGACATGTGCGCAGTGAAGGCTATGGGGCGAGCTTCATGCAGAAGAAGGACACTCAGAAGAGTTTCTCTGAGCCCAAGCTTCAGGACAGTCCATGCATGACTCATACATGTCAACGGGCGTACTGCAGGACCCAAGCTTGATAGGTCTGTTGCTCAGAGTTTTTGTGACGTCGACTGTTCAAAGGTTTCCGTGGCAGCTATGGTTGCAAGATGTTTTGGCAAGGTCCTCTGCGAACACGGGCGGCGCGATCCCAGGCAAGCGGCCCAGTGTCTGGCTTGGGTCGTTTGCGAAATGTCAGGTGCAACGAACAGCAGGCGGTGTTGCTACTGAGCTGCACTAGCTGCACACACACACACACCAACACGTACAGGCTCGGCCACACGCGGCCCACACGCTCGCACAAGCCCACACAAGCCCCCACACGTTCGCAAGCGCCCACATGCACAACGCACGCCCACATGCAACACAAACGCAACCCATCCGCAAACACAAACACAGACGCGCACACACACACACACAAGCACACACAAGCACAAACACAAGCACACACACACGCACATATACACACAAACGCAAACACAAGCACAGTGTGAGAGTGTGTGTGTGTGTGTGTGTGTGTGTGTGTGTGTGTGTTTGTGTGTGTATATGTGCGTGTGTGTGTGTGTATGTATATGTGCGTGTGTGTATGTATATGTGCGTGTGTGTATATGTGCGTGCGTGCGTGCGTGCGTGCCTGCGTGCCTGCGTGCCTGCGTGCCTGCGTGCCTGCGTGCGTGCGTGCGTGCGTGCGTGCGTGGGTGAGTGGGTGGGTGGGGGTGTGCGTGTGCGTGTGCGTGTTCGTGTGCGTGTGCGTGTCCGTGTGCGTGTGCGTGTGCGTGTGCGTGTGCGCGTGCGTGCGTGCGTGCGTGCGTGCGTGCGTGCGTGCGTGCGTGCGTGCGTGCGTGCGTGCGTGTGTGTGTGTGTGTGTGTGTGAGTGCGTGTTGTGTCCTTGGGTGTGTGCACGTGCGTAGGTGTGCGTCTTGTGCGTGTGCGTGGTGTGTGTTTGCCTTTGCGCGTGCGTGTGCGTGCGCGTGCGTGCACATGCTCGTGGGCGTGGGCGGGCGGGCGTGGGCGTGGGCGTGGGCGTGGGCGTGGGTGTGGGTGTGGGTGTGGGTGTGGGTGTAGGTGTAGGTGCGTATTTTGCGTGTGTGTGCAAACAGACACAGAAATAGGCACAGACACAGACACAGCCCCGCACACACACACACACAAACCACACAACACAGCACGACACGACGCACGTGCAACTGCATGTTTGTGTGCATGTGTAGATGATGCGTGTCAACATGTGTGTGTGTGTGTGTGTGTGTGTGTGTGTGTTTGTACGCGACAGTTTGTACTTGTGTGTGTGCGCGTGTTTGTGCGCACGGGTGTGGGCAAATGTGTGTTTGTGCTTTTGATTCCTCGCAGTCGCGTGCGGGTGGGTGTGTGTGTGTGTGTGCCTGTGAGGCGTGGTCGCCAACGAATCTATCGAGGATGATTGGATGCATCGAGGGCCGCCTTGATGTGTACCTGCAAGGGTCTTGCAAAGTTCTTTTGGCCCGTGATTTCTCTTGCTGTGTGTGCTTCATATTGGAGTTTTAACGTTGTCGGCTCTCCATTGTCTCGCCAGCTGAACGCGTTGTACTCGAAATGTTCCAAGCTGAACCCGATCCACCTCGAAGATTAGCCTCTCCCCCAACAGTTTAAGGGTGTGTGTGTGTGTTTGCTTGTTTGTCAGTTTGTCTGTCTGTTTGTCTGTTTGTATGTGTGTGTCTGAGCGTGTTAGTGCGTATGCGTGCGCGCGTGTGTGCACGTCCCCACACCCGCGTACCCACACTTACAGACATTTTCACAGACACTTACGGATATGTATACATATATGTGCTTTATATATTCTGTATACACATCTCTACCCGCGCAATCGCAAGTGCACATACGCACACATGCACACACATTCAAAAGAACATCCCACACCCCGAGGCAGTTTGTCGCAGCGAGTTGCCGCCGCCTGCTTTCACGACAGAGGCGTGCAGGGATTCTCTCAGATCTTGGCCAAACATGCAATCATTGCCAGTGCCTTCCGACGAGGCTTCAAGATGCGCCATCAACTCGTGTGCGCAGAAGGCTTTGCACCAAAGCAGCTTGGCCAAGTCTCCAGATTGCCCGGCGGCACATTGGCTGAAAGCACGCTCGTCGAACAAGCTCGCGCCGCTGAGGAATCGAGAATCCACAAAACATCAGAGAGCGGTTGATTTGCAGCTTGGCATGAGTGTGGCAACACAGATGAAATACACGAATGCCTGTGTGCACTTTGCTGTCCTCTTTCCCAGTTGTTTGGGACATGGAGTGTGGGCCGGACATGGGAAGCACAACTCAACACAAGACCACGCAGTAGAGGGGATAGAATACTCACCGTCATGTCCTGTGACCACAGCTCATGCGAGCGCAAAGCCAGCGTAGGTCCTGCGAGGATTGCGAGGGAGGCAGTGGAAGCTACTGGCTATTCCGCCTCGTCTTCGCCGGCAAGATCTGCAACGACCTCAATTCGGGAGCGTGAGATTCCTGTGCAAGCCTGCATGGGTGTGTCTTTTTTGAGGATACCCTTTTTTCCATCTGTGAGTTCAAGGGAAACAACAAAAAACTCACCATTTTTTTTTGAGGGGGGTCCCCAAAAAAAGACACACCCATATTTTTGATTGCAGCCTTGGCAATCTGGCAGTCTGGCATGCAGACACATGCAAATCAGGTGCAGGAAGTGTTGGCTGATTTGAGGGACGTGGTTCCAAATTTGTAGGTATGACACGGCCGCTGCCTATTGCAGCACTCTTTTCCCTTCAGGACAAAGCAGGATGCAGCATGCAACAAAAGCGCACACATTCAAGCTCTCTCCAAAGCAGTCCACCTTGCTTTCCTGGAGCTTGGTAGCTACTTGCATCTCTGGTTGCAGTTTTTAGTTGCCGTCCAAGATGGTGATCCAGAGCTTAGTTTCAGTGCCAAAGGCACTTGGACATACCACCTGTACAGCCAGGGGCAAGCAGGGCAGGCGGATGCCTGGCCCTCTGCTCCGAAGGGGGTGCCAAGCGCGAGGGCGCGGGCAAAAGCGGTGGAGTCGTTTTTTCTCTCTCTCTTTTTTCTTCCTGTTTTTCATGTGTTTTTCATTTGTTTTTTCTCTCTCTCCGTTTTTTTTTTGAGCCGGGCTGAAGTTCCAATGTCGACAGGTTCTGAAGGAGTGGTCCGAGGGGAAGTTGATCCAGGCGAAAGAAAGAGTTGCGACATCTTCTCACGGGTTCTCAGGGAATGAGTTGGAATGACCGCCGAGAGACACCATCCCTATGGTTTCCTTTATTCGGGCATCCCCCAAATCGGTTCATTCCCAAGTTTGCTGGACTCGGTCATTCCCTGAGCACCAGCGGGCTATCTTGCGAGGCTTTTCTTTTCCATTGGTTGCCCCGCAGGCCGTGAGCTTCTCGCGCTTTGAGGCAGATATTCAGGCAGAGCTGCAGGCGAGCTGCAAGCTGCCTGTGGGGCCTGTTGGCTGTGGGGGCTGGCACTAGCTGGCAGCCGTGAATTTTCTGCCCTGCGAAGGATTCACTGATTCAGTGCTTCTCCGATACTTTGCAGAACGCATCTTAGTGTGGCTGAGTCCAAGCAATTTCCAGCAAGGATGCAGGAATCACATTGTTGGCCCGGATGAGCAAAGACGGCCTGGCATCCATGCGGCAAACAATGCACTCATCAGCTTTAGGCCACACCAGCGGGTGCGACACAACAAGCGCAGAAGAGACGCGTGGCTGCAATGAAGCTTGGACTGTCCTCAAGCGACTTCCAAATGTGGTTAAGTTTTGGGACTGGGAGTAGGTTCATTGTTTTTGGCACTGTTTCAGATTGACGCAGAAATTCGATTTTGTGCTTTTGAGCCGGGGAACATTCAACAGGCTGGATTCTTTCCCCGAGAGGGCTGATTGGCCCTCTTTTGCTTCAGGTGGTACCAACCTTTGAAAGCAATCCTGCGTGATTATATTCAACATCAGAATTGGATACTTGCTTGGAACTCTTTTCCTGTGTTTTGCTCGGCATTCGGGCGTGGTTTTGACCCAACAGCAAGCGAGCTGCATGTCGAAAGAAGTGCAAGCACGCGGAGCTTGATCAATCGGAGAGCCCACTTTGGCCTGGCAACCCGTACTGCAAACAAACCGCGAGACGTCTCAAGAGCCCCCAGGGACTTCCGTTCTTTCTAACAGTCGCGGTTGCTGCCTGGTGAGGACAGCTGACTCGATTGATGGGCTCAAATGGGTCATTCAGGACCTTCGCCATTCTGTAGCCGTGAACTTGGCCGACTTCAAGCCCACCATGTTCCTTGAGGCTGGGGTTACTTGCCATTGCGCCGCTGCTGGGTCTTCATATGAGGATTTCCGGCTTCCACTGGAAGAGCTTCCTCGCAGCAGTTTTCCACTGGAGGCCATGTGTCGAATGAAAGGCTGAAAAGGCTGAACTGAGACGGCCCACTGTCAGGAGATTCTTTCAAGAAATGTTCTGTGGTTGGTGGTGCTATTCGTCCGCAGACTGGCCTGAAACTCAGAATCACGTTTCTTCCAACTAGCTTGGGTGTGCCTGGTTTCGAGGCTGCTCCTCTTGTTTTTGTGGTTTTCAAAAACAACTCAAAAGGCATTTTGGGGATGTCCAAGCGCAAAAAAAAGACACCTGCACGCAGTTTTATGGGTAATTTCCAAGGATTTGACACCAGCACCAGCTGGCCTGGGCCAGGAGAGGCGGTTCCGGTCTTGTTTTTTCCAAGCAGTTCCCCGGGGAGTAGCGGATTGGAGCCCGGTGGTACGGGATGTGCAGGGTTTTTTCTGGTTGTTGTAGAGTCGCTATGTGGGAAGCCCCCGGAACACAACTCGCCACCGAGCGGCAAGCGGGAAGCTGAAATTTGAGCCGCCCGGACATTGAGGAGAAGCCGCTGACGGTTTGTACGGCGCCCGCCCTGGACACTCTGACCTCTGCCATGGAGAGGCGCAATTGCTCCACGCATTCTTTTGCCCAGTTGCTCGGTTTGGTGTCGAAGTGCTGATGTCCTGCGTCCGCTCAAGTATCGGCTGATGTTGTTCTTGTGTTCTTGGTTCTGCCTGTTTGTCTTTGTTTTATCCAAAATGTCTAACAACGAGAGGGTAGAGAATAGTCATGCAGTGTGCGAGCCAGAAAGGATTCCAAGAGTACCTCGGTCAGCTGTAGCCAGATGGCTATGGCTTCTCTCCAACCGGTCCCCCAGCTGAAGTCAATACGGCCTCCGCTTGCGCAACCGGCACGGGTGCCGCCGTCACTGGCCCGTCTGCCTGGAAGGTGTGAGATCCTGGTCCCGGCGTTGGTGGCGCTAGGGCAAAGAGGATCCTTTGGTGCATTCTGCCAAGGGATGTTAGGACTACCTTTTCGCCAACTAATGGGTTTTCCGTATTAAACCACTAAGAGTTGAACTTTTAGCAGGGGAGCAGAAAGCAACCGAGGATCCTTCAGAGGTCGACGCGTCAGAGGGATCACCGTGTCGCCAGCTGTGAAGGCTGACACGGAGGAAGAGATTCAGGTTCCCTCCAGATGGGCGCTGCTGAAGTTTGCAGCTCCTCTGGCTGCGGTCAGCGTGACTGGGCCCATCCTCTCAACCATTGATACCTCCTTTGTCGGCCGCTGTGCGGGGACGGTGCAGCTGGCAGCTTTGGGCCCAGCATGTACCGTGACGGATCTGCTGTACTTGATCTGCAGCACGGTGTCCACTGCTGCCATCAACCTCTACGCAGGCGTCGACAAGGCCTCCAAGCCGCAGAAGCGCTTCCACGCCACTTGCCTCTCGATGGGTCTGGGCATCGGCGTCCTGGGCGCCGTTGTCTCGGCTCTCTGCGGAACCTTTCTGCTCAAGGCCTTGGGCGCGACTCCGGCGATGATGGAAGTGGCCAGAAGGCGGGGGGCTTGATCCATGTTGCACTCCCCCGGTTTGGGCCAGTAACTTCTCTAGGTGGTTCGAACATATCCATCCTTTTTTTTTGGTGGTTTTCCAAGCAATGGTCATCCTATCACGGACCTTTTGATCAACCCCCAGGTATGTAACTATCCGTGCGGCTGGGTTGCCTTTGGCAACAGTCGCCTGTGCCATGTATGGCTTGTGTGTGGGGAAGGGAGACACGAGGACACCTCTGGTGGTTCAGGTCTACTTGTCAGCGCTTCTGAATGTGATTTTCGATTGGCTTCTATGTGCAGTTGTACCTTGGGGTGCTTCTGGTGCTGCAACCGCCACTGTTGTGGCCCAAATCACCAGCTTCATGGCCTACTTTGTCATCATGCGACGGAAGGGGCAGCTGCCGTTGCCGAAGCTCAAAGACTTTCGGCCCGCTTGGGCGGACTTTCAACCACTCCTCTCCATCTTTCTGCCGGTTTCCTTCATCGTGGTATGCGTCTTGTCAATGTACGCTTGCATGTCCGGCTTTGTAAACAAAACGCAGCCCTTGGCAATGATCGCGGCCTACAAGATCTGGATCACAATCTTCGCCTTCTTCGCCCTCTGCGCAGATCCTCTTGCTGCAGCGACATCTACGAAGCTGCCGCCATTTGTTCTCAAGAGGTGTAGCTCCAGCGCAAGGCTTTTTGTGCGGCGGGCTATATCCTGTGCTGCAGGTGTTGGCGCACTTGGAGGCACGCTTCGCCAGCGAGCGCGCGTGAGATCCCTCACAAGGGATGGTTGATTGGGGTCATTCCCTCCTTCTTTACTGAGCACCAGCAAGTTGTCTGTTGAACCCTCGAGGCCTTATTCGGGGCTTAACAAGGGCTTATTTGGGCTCCCTCCCCCGTTCCCTCCCTCCCCCCCAGCCCCCATGAGAGTTTGATGCTTTTATGCCTTGAGGACTTATTGGTGCCGGCATCCTCTACTTTGGCGCGGCTGCATTTACTCAAGACGCGTCGGTCATCCAGGGGGCGAAAGTTGGCATTCTCCCGTTCGTTTTGTCACTTGGCGCTGTTCATGTATTAATTTTGCTTGGGGTGGAGCAACAAAGCGCCTAGTCTTCGAATGACGCCCAACACTCCAGCAGCCAAGTAAAGTGTGTGTGTGTGTGTTATTGCGAGGATCCTGTGCATCATGCACCCTACTCGCGTTTGCCAGAACTCCCTTGTGGTGCATGGTGATCTATTTTTCTATGTCCTCGCGCAGAGTTGCTTGTCCATTCTTTACTTCGTGGGCTTGACGTTCCTGGCCGGCAAGTGTGCGATCGGCAGCTTGTCTGCTTACCGCAGCATGCTGCTTGCAACCTTGGTCTTCTACATTGCAAGTTTGTGCACATATGGCGCGCGTGCGCGGTATCTCAACCGCAATCTGGGAAAGGCGGAGAGCGAGTGATGGGGTCCACGCAATTCGTGTGACTGCCAACTGTAAACCCTTTACTATTCACTCAATGTTCATCAATTTTCACTCCAGCGTTGGTACAGCTTCAAGTTTTCGAGCTTGCAAAAGGATTCGGCAGCGTCGAAGCGAGCATCTTGAGTCTTTCCCCGAGCAATGTTGGAGAAGTTCGTATGCCTCCCATGGTTGCGCTGGCAGCCTTGCACCACTGCCATAGGTTTCCCATCTTCAAGCATTTCTGTAAATTTCGAAGCCTCCGGCTCTGGCCCCCGACGCTTTAGCACAAATCGTTGCGTCCAACAAAGCCAGAGGGGGATTGGGTAAACCAGAGAATCAGCATCACCTAGGAGTTCCTGGAGCACACGCAGGGGTTTTCAGGTTGTCAGGGTTTTAGGTTTGCGCATTGGTTGCTGGTCCATTTTCGGCGCTTGAACCGCTCGCCAGAGTCTTGTCAGGCAAGTTTCAGCCGTCTGCGGGAAGGCAAGTATATTTTGGTCAGAACCTTCAGGATAGTGGAACGGCTCGATTCAGGGACCCTGATTGCAAAGGCCATGCGCAAGTGGGAACCTTGGCAGGTGGGTTGTAGGGCTTTCTTATCGGCCGCTAGCTGTGTATATGCGCCATGCACCACATGCCTTCAAGTATGCGAGATTATAGAGGATTAAAAATGGTTGCGCGTTGATGGTTGGCCCGTTCTCTTTCTTTAGTTGACCAGCCCAATGTCCTCGAAATTCGTGGGTTCTTCAGTCAAAGCGGCTTTTACACAAATCCATGGAAACAGTTGAAAGACAAGTGAGAATTCAACCAACACCAAAACGGTGCCAAAAGAAGTGAGAATGTCATTTCGCACAGACCTACCATTGCCAAATTAGGCGGAGCGCGGAGGCCAGTGTTTTTTGTTTTTTTTTGCGAGATAGGGTGGCTCTTTCTTATGGGCACGTAGCCGTGCATGTCTCACATGCTGCCAAATATCGGCAGATTCTTTGCAGTGCCATGCTGGTGCGCTAATGTTGACCCCAGATTAATAATCCTTGCTGATTTATACGGGGGTGTTCCCCTCCAAAAGTGGTGAATCCCCATTGAGGAGGGACAACCGCATGTGGCTAAGCAGGGGTTTATTCATGGGTCAACATTAGCTGCTGCAAAAATCCGAGCTGTTCAGGAGCTCCATACTGACAAGTCTTTCGCTGCGGTCGAGCAACCTGCGTGATCATTCTGGCCTGCAGTTCCTTGGAAGTAGCCCAAATTCAGTGCCAGCATTGACAGTGGACTCGCATTTGTTTTGCATTTGAGGCTAGCAACAGCTGTTGCAACCTTAGCTATCATGAGTTTAGCTGGTCTTGTCAAAGTGAGCTATTGGCATGACCAGGCCGGAAGGTGTCCGTCGCAGCAGCCACAGACAATGGATCGTTGTGCATGCGATGTTGCGGTGATTTTCAGATTTGGCAGACACATCTCCAGGCCTTTGCTGCTTAAAAGTTTCTGCTCTTGATGGTGATGCAATTGCAACCAGGGGCCCGAAGGTCCACCGGTCATCCAAGAGTGATCTCCAAGTCGTTCGCCCTGAACGCTGTTTAGAGCAAATGAGACGCGCTGTAAAAACTGTGGATCGTCAACATAGGTGTCCTTTTTGGTTGTTTTGGCGTAAAAATAGATAGCCCTGGTTTACCTGGTGGTTTGATCATCTACAAGGGAACCCCATCTATTTCCCCTAAAAGGACACCTACGATCGTCAATCTTTTCACATGCCAACCTGTTGGGTTCGCTCCATCTGGTTGTTCTCATGGCTTTTGGCCATCCAAATCGTACCGGTGAACATCCCAATCCCCACTAAAATAGGTTCTCTTAGGATAGGGCCCACCAAGAGAGAAGCCGGGAGGACTTCCTTCCTGGCGCATTCGCGTCATTCGCGTTCCGAGTTTGCGGGAGCTGGACCTCAGCGACAACTTCTTGGGGCCAAAGGCTGTGGCCAAGGCTCGGGATGCTTTTGAGACCGTCAGTTGACTTGGTTGTCTGTCAAAACTCATGGGATCCCATTTTGGGGTAGGTGCACCACCCATTTTAGAACCTATTTTAGTGGGGATTGGGATGTTCACTGGGGGCACGGGATTTGGACCCATGACCACTTGTTGGTGCGATAGGGAATGTGGTTGAATGAACCCAGGCTTTGGTCCCCAAGGAAATCAAATTGGGCACGTTTGAACTGCCTATCGCACAAGCAAGTTGAAGAGTTGCATTTTGTGAGGTGATTCATTGTGTCCGCGACAACCTGGAAATTCTGGATCTGAGACTGGCCCTCGGGGGCCCCAGAAAACTTGGACTTGCCTCCGAGTCTGCATGCCCAGGTCGAAACCGGCTGGGTGACGAGGGTGCCAAAGCGATTGCCGACGCTTTCAAGGGCCACGGCCTCAACAAGTACAGTTTGGTGGTTCCCAGCCATCCGGTTCCTCATCTTTCTAGTTGGTTTAGTGGTCGTTTCTATTAGACCCACCAAAGCTTGTCATAGCAGCAGGAGCTTAGACGGCCACTTGCGCAAGTGAGGTCCGGCAGCAGGCCAAAGCTTGGCAGTACTACGCTTGCGTGCCAATGGTGAGAACCTAAGCTTGGGGTTTGCGTGCCGATGGATTCCATTTGGGTATGGGTGAAAATCAAGCCACCAGGGGACCGCAGGTTTTAGTCCATGTTTCCTTTTACCATGGTTCCATTTTGGGTACCTATTTCCTGACCCACAGCCATTTGAGGCATTGGGAACGAAGGCGGCGAAGCTTTAGCAGAGGCACTCATGCCTTGGCCCGAGCGGAAGTTCCGCCGGATGGTGCTTTTCAGCCCGGCCAGAGGTCGGTGACCTCGATGCTGGAGTTTGACTTCGCGGAGAACCAGGCAAGTCGACCAGAACAAATCACAGGGGAAATCTGGGTGTGGATCAAATTAAACCACCAGGGGGACCGCAGGTTGTAGTCCAAGTTTCCATTTACCCAGTTTGGGTACATATTTTTGACCCACAGCCATCTGAGCAACCCACTCCGACGCTTTCTGACTAGGTCGATGTCCAGACTGCAGCAGTGATCCTGAGGGTCCGCATCTCAGAGCAGCGCGGAGCTTGGTTCTTGCGGACGAAGCACGCGTTGGTCAAATGACAGGCGACATGTGCTGCGCGGACTCTGAAGAGGCCACTGCTGAAAGCACAGTCGCGGAAAAAGCCGCTCGCAGCCTTCAATGATTGCAATGCTTGCAGCTGTGCTACTGTGGGTGGTCTAAATTCGGCCAACTGCCGGGATGGATGAAACCGCATGAATAGCAGCATATGTACCTTGGTGCGAGGCTGTGCTTGGACAGCAACTTGCCTTGGCCAACCAGCGAAAACTGCGAGGCCGCTGGTAAAGACAGAGTGGTACTGGCAACTGTTGCCATCTGGGTATGGGTCAAGAACTATCAGGGGACCGCAGGTGGTCCATGTTTCCATTTACCAGGGTTACGTTCTGGGTACCTAATTTTGATCTACATCCGTCTGATCCAGGTGCAAGTGGCGGGATTTACCGACCAGCTGAGCTCGCGTCTTGGGAAGCTCGAGGCGTGAACTTGGGGCAAAACGGAAGTTTCGCCAGGTGGGCACCAGGCAGTTCCTTCGCTGGAGATGCTGAGCTTGAGGCAAGACATCGCCAATGCAGAAGGTCAGCATAGATATATATATATATATATACATATACTACATATACTACATATACTACATATACTACATATACTACATATACTACATATACTACATATACTACATATACTACATATATACATATACTACATATACTACATATACTACATATACTACATATACTACATATACTACATATACTACATATACTACATATACTACATATACTACATATACTACATATACTACATATACTACATATACTACATATACTACATATACTACATATACTACATATACTACATATACTACATATATATATATATATATACATATTATAACACACGCATCACGTATTTCCATTGCTGCAAGTATCGCTTTTGCATTTCCATGGTGAGCCTCTGAATCCAGGCGCTGCAAGATCCATTCCACGGGCGCCATGAAGCTCTTCGAGTCACTCGCAAGCAATCAGGCGCGGAGCCTACCTCTGCTGCCATTGAGAAATGGATGCGGCTCAAAATTAAAGAGCTAGGGTTTTTTCAGGCTGTCGTTGGTGTCATTTACCAAGGTGCCATTTTGGTGCATATTGTTGAGCCACCAAATGGGTATGGGTATGGGTTGTGACTCACATGGGTATGGGTCAAAATTAGTCACCAGGAATTGGACCGCAGGTTTTGGTCCATGCTTTTCCACTTGCCAGTGCAAGCCATTTGGGGTACCTATTTTTGACCCACAGCCAAATGTGCATCCTGCCTGCAGACCCTGCGACACCTGAATGCGGCCTGCAACGGTTTACGTCAGGCCAGTTCACGGATTTCATTCGGTTTGGAGGCTCCATTTCAAGCGTTTGGACAGGGCGCCGCGCACAAGATCGCCACGGCTCTGGCATGCAACACGACCCTAGAGGATGCCGCGCTGACCGTTTTCTTTTTTTTGTGCAAGACTCACGGGTGTCTGGCTCTAACCGCTGCGGAGTGGGAAAAGCCACCCTGTCCCATTTCGGGCCGCGCAGGGAGTGAGTTGGAAAGACCCGACAAAAACCATCCAACTGGTGGTTTTCCTTCATTCAGGAATCCCCAAAACGGGTTCATTCCCAACACGGGCCACCATGCAGGAGCTCGACCTCCGAGACAATCGCCTGGGGGTTCAGGATGCCTTGGCCATCGCGCTCCATCAGGCGAACGGAACTTGGAGATGTCTCTTAGAACCTCTCCCCCCTCCCCCCCCCCCCCGCTTTTTCTGTGGTTTTGACGCAAAAACACGAGGACACCCCCCCCCCATCTTAGGGGGCCCCTAAAAAAGACACCCACTTGGAGACGTTTGACGTAATTACACGGTTCAGGTCTTTGCCAACGCCAACGCTGCCCCCGACACTTGGCTTGCGTTAGGGCGAAGGCATGGTCAGGACGAGGATCTTGCGTGCAGGAGGATCCCTGATTGCCCTCACCGTGACAAGCTTCCGAACTCATGTACCCTCATCACTACATCTGGGGGACCACCTCCAAAAAGGTTGGTGGACATGAACCCCCGCCTAAATGATCCTATAAAGAATCACAACCTCATCTCATGTGAGACGTGGCTGAGGAGTTATCCAAGTCTCCGACCCAGACCCAGAATGTCGAGGCTCACGTGGTAATCTGCGGACATTTGTAGACATGTGTGTGCTTGTCCAGGCATCTGACAACCGCCGAGCCCAGGGCAGTTTGCGGGTGCTGGCAAGATGCTTAGATGTTCTCGAGCCTGCTTGTCCCTGTGCTGAACTTGAAGAAAGTGTAGCACAAATAGCACAAGTAGCACAATGCAGCCAAGAACCTGGGCAACAATGAGATATCCGGAGAGGCCGTTCCAAGGTGCATCTTACTCCTTTGCCAGAAGGGAAGCACGTTTGAACAACACTCATTCACATGTTGTGCCTGTTTCACATCTGGGTGTGGATCAAAATTAAACCACTAGGGGACCGCAGGTTGCATGTTTCCATTTGCCAAGGTTCCATCCTGGGTACCTATTTTTGACCCACAGCCATATCATGGTTCGCATGAGACCGACAGCATGTTCACCTGGTGATTGCGATCCGTGGTCTTTTTCGCCAGGATTGCAGCTGCTCTCTGCCATTTCCGAGGGCTTCAGGAGTGCAGTTTGGCGGAAAGCCCCGCGATGGCTGTTCCATGGGTGTTTGGAGATCTTTTCAGTTGGGTTAGTAGGGGTTTCCATTTCGCCCACAAGTTAAACTTTTGGTAGGGGATCGGCTTGGACGGCCCTTTTTATGCGATCTGCGGGTCTTTAGGGCCTCAAATGGAACTCGTTCAATCCCTGCGAATTCGCTCGCGCCTGGCAGCTTTGCAGATCTGAGCGGGCCCAGCTTTTGTGCGGGTAGGCAAAGCTTTGCCCCAGTGGCAGAGAGAGAGAGAGAGATAGCATCGCCTGCGTGGTAGCTGGGCTGGTTGTAACTCAAGCTTGTGCAGGAGCTCTATATTTATCACAATCCACAGCTGGGAGATGTCGGAACGCAGGCTTGCGTGACAGTCATATGTTCCGCGTGTTTTCCTACGCAGTCAAAGTTGCCCAGATTTTCCGAAACCACTTCTCATTGGGGGTTCACCACGTGAGCCACAAAGCCCGGGTAGATGAAGGTTAGTAGGAGGCAGTCCTTGTCAGAAATAGCTGCCTCCGCCTTCTTAATTCTTGAAGCATGGTTCTGGGTTCACCATTTTAACCGGGTTTTGATTGTGACTCACGTCGTATTGCTTTCAGCAAGGGCATCGTGTAATGCTTGAATCTCATTGAGCAGCAGAATCTCCCGACGTCAGGCTCTAGCTCACCTCGTCTCGACTGGGCCGCTCGTTTGCACGTACGAATGCTCCACGGGTCTTGGGTGGGTCTTTTCTTTTAAAGGGGAACCCCAAAACTACTGTTTTTTCCTTGTGGCTTCCCTTTTAAAGCCACCAAAAAGGGGTATCCTCAACAAAAGACGCACCCAAATTGAACTGAGTTGCTTTCGGAGCTTTCACAGGGCGGGGTGCACTTGCATCGGGTTTCTCACTTTCCTGGATCCCCTGTGTGGATGCGAGGTCACTGCGCCGCCTGAGCGTTGCAGCTTGCGGAGTGGGAGATGCCTGCGGCCGAGTTCGGAGGGAAGAATTGGCTCAGTCGCCGGGGATCGACTCAAAACGAAGGGACCCGACCCCTTGAAATGGCGACAAAGGTCGGCGTCAAGTTTCCCAAAGGAACCTCTTGAATTTTCTGGGTCCTCAGGCGAGTTGGGAGGGCACGCCCTGGTCACATCCGGATGCCGAAGTGTGCTTTGCTGGTCCACACTGTCAAGCATCGGAATGCCCTGAACAAATCTGCTCTTACAGGACATTTCTTGCTGGTGGTCAGGGAATGAGAATTGCAATGACCCCTTTTTCAACCATCCAACTGGTGGTTTCCTCCATTTCTCATTCCCTACCTATCGCACCAGCAAGACATTGACCGACCCGAAGCTTCAATCCCTCTGCACGGATGCCATCTACAACACTACGCCGCTCGAGAACGCCACGGCGAAAACTGCAGCGATGCTAGGAGTGCCACGCATCTGCGCCGCGGTACGCAGAAAACAAGGCTAACTCTAAGGCTATGCGTGCTACAAGACTGGCAACCCGACGCAAACAAATCCCCAAAAGCGAATGCAAGATCAAAAGGCTTAGGTCTGCTCTGAGCCTGTACACCCAATCAGTCAACCACCAAACCAAACCGGATGCCACACACCCAGAAAAACCACAAACCAAGCACGTGGCTTCGCACATTTCGAATTACTGTGTTCCATCAATGCCTCCGTGCCTCTGTACTTGATCGGGGTGTGTGCACTGAAAGAAGCAGCTTGCCAACACCAGGTTAGTCTCACGAACGGCTTCCCTTGTTGAAGCGCATGCGTCGTCCCTGGATTGACGAACATGGACGCCTTTTGCACAGCCCTCGGCAGGTAGCACCCTTGTGCGGCTGCACCTCCATAATTGTTTTAGCCGCTTCCTAACACATTGCATTCTATGCGCCCTTTCGATTTGTTTTTTTGATGGGTTAAAAGAGAAACAAACAGGAAACCAACCGGCAGGGGTCCCAAAGTTCGAGAACCACCCTACTGCGTGCTGAGACTGTCAGGCTGGATGCCAAGCACTCATGGCTGCCATCGAGGAGAAGAATGCAGGGGGCTCAATCGTAAACGAGAGTTCGTGCAGACCTTGGATGGAACCAAGGACTTAAAGCTTAGCTCTTGAAGTTTGAGTTCATATGTTTTGTCCAAGGCCTTGAAGACGCTGGACATGTCTTGCAACAGCATTGGGGACGATTCTGCTCCTGGAGTGGCTTCGGTGCTCGGGCTGGTTGCCTTACTCGAATACATGTGCTGCAACACATGTGGAGGGTTTCTGAACTTGGGAGAAACATATTTGTTGGATAGGTTGAAAGGGAACCCAGCAGGAAGCCAAGCAACTGAAGGGTCCCATTCTTTTTTTGAGAAACGCCAACGTGCTCGAGCCGTGAAGGTGCTAGCACAGCGGGATTGTGCGATCGAGAAGCTGGTCCTGTCCATGAATTCTCTGAGCGCTTGCCCTGGTTTTTGTTACCAAGTTCAGCAGCTTGCTTGGGCTCTGGTTTTGGGTACCCCATGTTTGGTGGTTTTAAAGGCACGCCAAAGGGACAACCACCATTTTGGGGGGTTCCCCAAAAAACGCACCCGTTTCTGACTCCTAGGTTCCTTCGGAATATCGCAGTTGATGGATGGAGCAGCTCCTGCCTGTCTTGCGCTTCGATTCGTGGTGCCAGCTGCTGCCGGGTTTGGACCGCCAGGTTGCGCGGAACATCGAGGGCCAGCTGCTTGAACTCGACGTGGGCTCGCAGGAGCGCTCGAACCCGCCAAAGCCATGGTTGCAAGTATTCAAGTAATGTCAGAGGTGATCTCTCTAGAGCTCGCAAGAACATAGGCAGATAGATGGTTCATAGGGGTAAATCGACTTAAAGCGGCGATTTTTACCGGGCTTTTGGCGCTTGAGGCGCGTGCTTTTTTCACGACCGACGCGTAGGATGTGGGTCTCTCCAAGACCTGCTTCGTGGCAGATGAGCCCTTGAGCCCGCGCAGCAGTTCCAAGGCCGGGAGGAGGCTTTTGGCGTGGGTCCACTTAGAGCACTTGCAGGTCAAAACAAAGTTTTTGGGCCTGCGCTGAAAGTGGCGCATGCGCCTGCGCCTCAGCCAATGCTCAAACTTCGCAGATGGGCAAAATGTTTGTTCTTTTGGTGTCTCTCTCTCTCTCTCTTTCTCTCTCTTGGTTTACAATTAGGTACCAACTCCAAAAAAAAGACACCCCAACAGTCACAAGCAGCTTACTGGGAAGCAGTGAGCATCCTCAAGCACAGTTGGTTGGCACAATTCCAACCATGAGAATGATGTTCACTAAAGGGCCCCCAAATAAAGTTTATACCCACATGAAGCAGGGTCAGAATTTACGCACATGCTCTAATGACTTGGACATACATGGCTGAAAGTGCTTCGAAGCCTGGAAAACAATTGGCGACACACAAACAACATTGATGCCATGACTTTGTGTTTGGAATATCGATCCTCAGCAAAGCGTGGTTGGTGACTTGTGCACAATAAATCCATCTTCCATTTGTGGCAGCATTACGCACAAGGCCATGCGACCAAGGCGAAGGTCAGGACTGTGAAAAGCGCAGCTGAGCAAGTGTCACAAATGTGACGCCGTGTAAATGCACTCCCTCAAACAGGGCTCCTGAAAAGATACATTTTGCCCATTTGAAACATGGCTTTTTCCACCAAAATAAATGGAAACCCACCATTGACAAGGCAATGTTCAGGTGTATAATGTAAGAATCCCTGTCAAACCGTGCATGTTGCGCTGTTCAAGATGCACATTGCCATGAAGCCATGCTTGGTTTGATGTTATTCACAGCTTGTGAATGGTTTGGGCACAGCAGTTTGGGCGGGCACAGAGCAAGTTCCTGCAACGGGGCTCGGCTCAAAGGAAGACAAAAGGACCACTCATCGTTCAAGTTTGTTGCATGTTTGTTTTAGACTCGAGCGATAGAGAGAGCGAGAGAGAAATGCAAAGGCAACCTTGACAAGCGCTGGTCACTTCTCTGAATTGATGGGACCTTGCAGGAAACTCGGCATGACAGCTGCATTTTTCTCTGGCTCAGTTGTCTTACAAGAGACATGCAATCAATGAAAGCTATTGACACCACAGAAACACACATTCAGTAGTAACAACCTGCATGTCAGCGATTGTTGTCTTTGCCTTTCTATATCGCAAGACACGGAGACGAAACGAGCTTGATGGGCAAAGATTGAACACTGTGAAAAGAACCTTGAGCAAGTCCAGGCTATTCATAGAGCCATGGTCAATTTCGTGCTCTGGCAAGGCTTGGCAAGACTTGTGGCTTTTTCTGACAAGTAACAGGCTGAAGACATGAAGTATGAATGTTTGTTCGCATTTCCCGACATTTGTCGAATTTCTGTTGGCGACCTGTGTGGCAGGTGCTGGCGGGAGGTAAAGAATGCGCCGCGTTTGCACTCCAGTTAAGCTCCGTGCTGGGCTTGGTTTGTTCGAGTGATGTGGGCTGAGTGCAATTGAGCGAACATTTTTACGAAGGCCTGCCATGTGCTCTTCTATGTGGTGCGCTTTATCGATATGGCCCAAGAGCTTGGGGTGCTCCATGCATTTTGGTCCTTAAAGTGGGAATCGGCTAATTTCATGCAGCCAGGCTCCTTCAGCCAGGCCGGTTGCGGGAGTGCAGACTTGGCCCACAGCGTTGCAGAAGCTTGAAGTTCATGAATTTGACAGAGAGCTGGCTCAAGCACATTACATCATGCGTCCTGAAGCAGCATGTTGTTAACTCTAGAGGCTGCAGCATCCAGCCGACTCTAGTGCATTGGCGAGATGGGTTAAGATCAATGCTCGGAACCAAGGTCGCAGTGTCATCTCGAGAGTTTGCTGCATGTTAGTTCCTTTGCATGGGCGGCGCTGCACCGGCTTTGCCGGCCTAAGCGTTGCGCGGGCGGATCATCGCCCCCCGTCGCTTCGTTGGAGAACTTCCAAGTGCCTGGCCTGCGCCGCTGTGGGCCGCGCTATGGCGAAGCGGGTCGCCGTGATTGGAGGAGGCCCGGCAGGGCTCGCGGCTTGCAGACTCCTGAAAAGGTTTGGCCACCAGCCGACAGTCTTCGAGTCGGGCAGCGAGGTGGGCGGGATTTGGGCGCCTGAGCCCACCAACGCAGTGGTGTACAGGGGTCTTGTGACAAATATTCCATCTGTTTGTATGCAGTCTCACGACTTGGACTTCCCGGAAGGATTGACATCGTATGTATCTGGCAGAGAATTGGGGGATTACATGATTAGCTACGCAGAGCATTTCAACTTGAAGCGCTTCATCCGTTTCAACTCGAAGGTGAGCGACATCCGATTCCAGGCCGAGGATGGTCGGGACGGGCATGGGCAATGGAGCGTGTCGTGGATCTCTGACTCCACGCGCTCGGAGGTTTTTGATGCGGTGTGCGTGGCTAGTGGCCACTATGAGTTCCCTTACTGCCCAGAAATCCCCGGCATGGCGGAGTGCATCAGTGGCCCGCGGAAGACCCGCGTCATGCACGCAGTGGAGTATGACGACCCGGAGGAGTTTAGAGATCTCTCGGTGCTGGTGGTGGGGGGCAGGTCCTCCGGGGTGGATATCGCCCGGGAGCTGCGGACGAGAGCGAAGTCGCTCTACGTCTTGGACGGCTGCAAGGAAGTGGTCACCACTGGCCACTGCAGCAACGTGCCTGTCGGCACAAAGCTGGAGACAAACGGCGCCCTGTACTTCGAGCAGCAAATTGTCCCGGGCGAGCCGGTGGATGTCGTCATCCTGGCCACTGGATACACCTATGCGTTCCCCTTTCTCGATGAGGAAGGTGTGGGTCTCGAGTTTGGAGAAGTCAGAAGATATGTGGCACCTCTATACCAGCATGTGCTACATGCCCATCATCCCAGCCTATCTTTTGTGGGTATCCCTTTGGCAGTGCCCTGCCCGTTGGCATTGTTTGAAGCTCAGTCATACTTCCTTGCTTCGCACCTCCGCAATGAATGGACCAGTGCTGCCGAGCGACAGGCATGGGTAGATGAAAGACTTTCAACTCTAGCAAGGACTCAGGATTTACATATGCTGGGTGGTACTACCTGGGACTACATGCGAGAGCTTGTCAGAGAAGCTGGAATGCCTGAGGAGGAGTTTCTAACCTACGACAAGCGGCTGCGACTAGTGCAGGCAGTGTATGCAGATCGAGTAAATCGAAAGCCAGCCATGCCCTGGGATGATGATGAATACCGACGCTGTGAATACAAGCTAGATTACAATCGAGGCTGCTTTTGGGTAACCTGTCCTGACGGCTCGGTCGAAGAAGGACGAGCTGTGTAGTCCCCCGGCTGCGCTCCGGTGGCAGCAAGGCATTGGAGCGAGCGAAGCTTGAATCATTTCTTAGCTGGCTGTAAGGAGTTCTGTGAACGATCAAACCTCGAATAGGCCGTTAGCATTACTTTTTGTACTGTTCAGATGGCACGAAATGACACCGCATATGAAATTGGTACCGCAAAGGAACAGGGCGACATTGTTCACTGTTCACTTGATTTGTTCACTCCAGAACCGCACGCAAGGATAGATCAAAGGCGGCTTGAGCAGATTGCCTTTCCCAAAAGCTTACAATCATTGCTCCCTTTTTTTTGACTTGCCTTGCAACAGGGTCTTCCGATTGCGCGATCAACTCACAGCCGCAGCTGGGAACTCAGAGAGCAGAATGCCAAGTCACGCACTGCACGGGCTGAAGGGTTTGCAACGGCTGATGCTTCTTCAGCGCCTCGGCTGGATTTGAGTTGAAAGGTGCCTGAGATACTCCGAAACCTGACTCCGCGAAGGTCAGAGAAACTGCTCACGTCTTATCCATTGCCACGGAGTACCGACAAGAGGTGCGCACCTCTGGTCTGCGCGCGTGCTTGGCCATTTTTGAACTCACCGTGCTGTTTTGCCGTAGGCCGTCATCTTGCAGCGATCTGCCAAGTTGCTCGGGTACAGGCGAGGGACTTAAACGAGGCTCTCTGCGAAACAAAAACGCACGCGGCCAGGTTCGAGTTTTGTGGCTTCAGGGCGGCGCCGGCCGTTCTTTCCTTCGCGGAGCTTGGCGAGGGTGTTTGGTGGCCAGGAGAGATGGGTGGGCTGGGGCACAAAGCTTGTCCAGTACCGCAAGGTGCCGCCCTCGGAACCCTCGGCCTTTCGCGGCGCTTTCGGCCGCGCGGCAATTTTCCGAGGCCCTGCGCGCCGGCCTGGCCGAAGGCCGCATCGCGAGGCGCCCAGGAAAAAACGTCGACGGCGCACGAGGCGTGTCGGTCGTCTGAGGCGGCCAGCGATCCCGTGCTGCTGATTGATGGCTGGGACTGCCCGCAGCCTGTCCGTTGGTAACGTGTGGGGATTCTGCAGATTAAAAATGTGCGCTCCGAGGTGCCATCATCGGACCAGCAGAAGAGCTGCCTTGGCATGTCATGTTGTTGGAAGTTTGTTGGAAAGCATGTGTTGTTGAGCAAGCCATCGTGACAGGTTTATTGAGAAAATGTCGCAGCCTCCATTTGCTGACAATCCTCAGCCCTGGATTGCAGGCTTGACCAGTTGGCACACAGAATGGCTGCACACATTTGCTTCAGGTGAGCGCATTTGCGGTCCTGACTTCTTCAAGGCTGACGGGCGTGTTGTACTTGAATCTTCGATTTTTAGGGCTGTTCCAAGTGCAAGGCAAACCGGATCGATGCAGTCTTCCCAGACCCGGGAACGCCGTGGCGATATCCCAATGCAGGCAAGATGCGAAATCGGTTCGTGAGCCTGTGGTTCTCAACTAGGATGCATGACGGGCCGCGCCGGAACCCCGGTGCCCGGCACGCTTGCCCTTGACCACATACTGTACCCTCTGCCACATATCTGAGGCCGAAGCAATGCTGCAGCTCATTGAGGATTTGCTTCATGGGACAGGCCGAGATTCGGTTTGCAAGATTCATGGCAAGACTAAGAAGCCTACTAGTACCCATTCAGAAGTGTCACTTCCGGCGACACACACACACACAAACCCAACGGACATGTATGCACCTTCAGGTATGTATATATGTGCACAATGTGTATATATATATAATATATATAAATATATATATATATATATGCACACGCTATTCATACATCTCTATTGGGATAAACATGCCCCCTGTTGTACATATGTATATATACATATGTATGTATATATGTAATGTATGTATGTATGTATGTATGTATGTATGTATGTATGTATGTATGTAATGTATGTATGTATGTATGTATGTATGTATGTATGTATGTATGTATGTATGTATGTATGTATGTATGTATGTATGTATGTATGTATGTATGTATGTATGTATGTATGTATGTATGTATGTATGTATGTATGTATGTATGTATGTATGTATGTATGTAATGTATGTATGTATGTAATGTATGTAATGTAATGTAATGTAACGTAACGTAACGTAATGTAATGTAATGTAATGTAATGTAATGTAATGTAATGTAATGTAATGTAATGTAATGTAATGTATGAATGTATGTATGTATGTATGTATGTATGTATGTATGTATGTATGTATGTATGTATGTATGTATGTATGTATGTATGTATGTATGTATGTATGTATGTATGTATGTATGTATGTATGTATGTATGTATGTATGTATGTATGTATGTATGTATGTATGTATGTATGTAATGTATGTATGTATGTATGTATGTATGTATGTATGATGTATGTATGTATGATGTAATGTAATGTAATGTAATGTAATGTAATGTAATGTAATGTAAATGTAATGTTATGTATGTATGTATGTATGTATGTAATGTAATGTAATGTAATGTATGTATGTAATGTATGTATGTATGTATGTATGTATGTATGTATGTATGTATGTATGTATGTATGTATGTATGTATGTATGTATGTATGTAATGTATGTATGTATGTATGTATGTATGTATGTATGTATGTATGTATGTATGTAATGTAATGTAATGTAATGTAATGTAATGTAATGTATGTAATGTAATGTAATGTATGTATGTATGTATGTAATGTAATGTAATGTAATGTAATGTAATGTAATGTAATGTATGTATGTATGTATGTATGTATGTATGTATGTATGTAATGTAATGTAATGTAATGTAATGTAATGTAATGTAATGTAATGTAATGTAATGTAATGTAATGTAATGTGTAATGTATGTATGTATGTATGTATGTATGTATGTATGTATGTATGTATGTATGTATGTATGTATGTATGTATGTATGTATGTATGTATGTATGTATGTAATGTATGTATGTATGTATGTATGTATGTAATGTAATGTAATGTAATGTAATGTATGTATGTATGTATGTATGTATGTATGTATGTATGTATGTATGTATGTATGTATGTATGTATGTATGTATGTATGTATGTATGTAATGTAATGTAATGTAATGTATGTATGTATGTATGTATGTATGTATGTATGTATGTATGTATGTATGTATGTATGTATGTATGTATGTATGTATGTATGTATGTATGTATGTATGTATGTATGTATGTATGTATGTATGTATGTAATGTATGTATGTATGTATGTATGTATGTATGTATGTATGTATGTATGTATGTATGTATGTATGTATGTATGTATGTATGTATGTAATGTATGTATGTATGTAATGTATGTATGTATGTATGTATGTATGTATGTATGTATGTATGTATGTATGTATGTATGTATGTAATATGTATGTGTATGTATGTATGTATGTATGTATGTATGTATGTATGTATGTATGTATGTATGTATGTATGTATGTATGTATGTATGTATGTATGTATGTATGTATGTATGTATGTATGTATGTATGTATGTATGTATGTATGTATGTATGTATGTATGTATGTATGTATGTATGTATGTATGTATGTATGTATGTATGTATGTATGTATGCATGTATGTATGTATGTATGTATGTATGTATGTAATGTGTATGTATGTATGTATGTATGTATGTATGTATGTATGTATGTATGTATGTATGTATGTATGTATGTATGTATGTATGTATGTATGTATGTATGTATGTATGTATGTATGTATGTATGTAATGTATGTATGTATGTATGTATGTATGTATGTATGTATGTAATGTATGTATGTATGTATGTAATGTAATGTAATGTAATGTAATGTAATGTAATGTAATGTAATGTAATGTAATGTAATGTAATGTAATGTAATGTAATGTAATGTATATGTATGTATGTATGTATGTATGTATGTATGTATGTATGTATGTATGTATGTATGTATGTATGTATGTATGTATGTATGTATGTATGTATGTATGTATGTATGTATGTATGTATGTAATGTATGTAATGTATGTATGTATGTATGTATGTATGTATGTATGTATGTATGTATGTATGTATGTATGTATGTATGTATGTATGTATGTATGTATGTATGTATGTATGTATGTATGTATGTATGTATGTATGTAATGTAATGTATGTATGTATGTATGTATGTGTATGTAATGTATGTATGTATGTATGTATGTATGTATGTATGTATGTATGTATGTAATGTATGTATGTATGTATGTATGTATGTATGTATGTATGTATGTAATGTATGTATGTATGTATGTATGTATGTATGTATGTATGTATGTATGTATGTATGTATGTATGTATGTATGTATGTATGTATGTATGTAATGTATGTATGTATGTATGTATGTATGTATGTATGTATGTATGTATGTATGTATGTATGTATGTATGTATGTATGTATGTATGTATGTATGTATGTATGTATGTATGTATGTATGTATGTATGTATGTATGTAATGTATGTATGTATGTATGTATGTATGTATGTATGTATGTATGTATGTATGTATGTATGTATGTATGTATGTATGTATGTATGTATGTATGTATGTATGTATGTATGTATGTATGTATGTATGTATGTATGTATGTATGTATGTATGTATGTATGTATGTATGTATGTATGTATGTATGTATGTATGTATGTATGTATGTATGTATGTATGTATGTATGTATGTATGTATGTATGTATGTATGTATGTATGTATGTATGTATGTATGTATGTATGTATGTATGTATGTATGTATGTATGTATGTATGTATGTATGTATGTATGTATGTATGTATGTATGTATGTATGTATGTATGTATGTATGTATGTATGTATGTATGTATGTATGTATGTATGTATGTATGTATGTATGTATGTATGTATGTGTATGTATGTATGTATGTATGTATGTATGTATGTATGTATGTATGTATGTATGTATGTATGTATGTATGTATGTATGTATGTATGTATGTATGTATGTATGTATGTAATGTATGTATGTATGTATGTATGTATGTATGTATGTATGTATGTATGTATGTATGTATGTATGTATGTATGTATGTATGTATGTATGTATGTATGTATGTATGTATGTATGTATGTATGTATGTATGTATGTATGTATGTATGTATGTATGTATGTATGTATGTATGTATGTGTATGTATGTATGTATGTATGTATGTATGTATGTATGTATGTATGTATGTATGTAATGTATGTATGTATGTATGTATGTATGTATGTATGTATGTATGTATGTATGTATGTATGTATGTATGTATGTATGTATGTATGTATGTATGTATGTATGTATGTATGTATGTATGTATGTATGTATGTATGTATGTATGTAATGTATGTATGTATGTATGTATGTATGTATGTATGTATGTATGTATGTATGTATGTATGTATGTATGTATGTATGTATGTATGTATGTATGTATGTATGTATGTATGTATGTATGTATGTATGTATGTATGTATGTATGTATGTAATGTATGTAATGATTACATATGTAATGTATGTAATGTATGTAATGTATGTAATGTATGTAATGTATGTAATGTATGTACTGTATGTAATGTATGTAATGTATGTAATGTATGTAATGTATGTAATGTATGTATGTATGCAATGTAATGTAATGTAATGTAATGTAATGTGATGTAATGTAATGTAATGTAATGTAGTGTAGTATAATGTAATGTAATGTAATGTAATGTAATGTAATGTGATGTAATGTAATGTAATGTAGTGTAGTGTAGTATAATGTAATGTAATGTAATGTAATGTAATGTAATGTAGTGTAATGTAATGTAATGTATGTATGTATGTATGTATATACATATATATATGTGCATAGAGACTGGAATCTGGCATTTCTTGGAGGCGACGGCAGCAGCTTCCCAGAAGATGGCAATGACCAGGAAACGCGCTGCCTGTGAGCGCATTCGGTTTTGGTGTGTTGTCGCCGGCTTGCCGCCAACGCATGACAGCATTGCAGGGCAGGCTGCATGAACATTTGCTGGATTTGGGTTTGTCCCTCAGTGAGCATCGTCGGCATGACTGCACAAGCAATTTGTCCCGCCAGCTTACTGTTGCGACTGCGTGAACCAGGTGAGCGCGGAGACACGCTGCTGACTTAGAGCGAAAACAGAGAGCTTTGCAAGGCAATTGTTTTTGAGGCTTCCGTACTTTGTCGACTCCACCTGCAGAATCTTTCAGTGCCTGTACGAAGCAGAGCCGCAGCACTCCCTGCGTGATTGAACAAAGATGCAGATTGGATGTAGTTGCAGGATTGCGCGATTTTCAGAATCGGTTTGGTGACGTGTTTGGCGAACTGATAAGGGGATGGGCCAAAATGAAGCATCACCAGGATATGGACCGCAGGTTTTAGTCCAGGTTTCCATTTGCCGGACCCATGGTAACCCCCCAAATTTTGGGGGTTACCACCTCTTTTCGACCTGAAAACCGGCGAGCGGCGCAGCTTCCCCGCGGCAGATGGCAGCTGGAGCCCGCGGAGCCGCTGCCACGGCTGCGGAACTTGCAGACGGCCGAGCGCCCGCGGGGAGCCATAGCCGCGCTGCGGCGCTGCGCGCGCGAGCGCAGCCGTGGGGACGTGACGCGAGGATTGTGTTGCACGGCAACGGCCACACTGGGCGCTGGTTCCTGTTGGGCCCTGAGGCAGAAACGGAGCGAAACGCGTTTCAGATGGAGATGTTTTGACGCAAGTGGTGAAGGTCGAAGCTGTGGAGAGAGATGGAGTTCCTGAAGCGAGAAGCGCCTGCCTGCTTGGATCAAATTTGGCGCCTGCTTGGATCTGAAAGAACGGCAGGTGGGGCTGACCATCGAGGAGCTTGCGCACTTGCCGCATGACGGACCCATTCCCCCGGGCACAGTCGCTGACGAGGAGGGCCCTCACTCGCTTGGATGGCCTAGCAACTGCGGGTTGAATATCGGGTTGATCAATATTCCCTTCGGCCCCGAAACAAATGGGTCACTGTCCCAATGTGATGAAAGTCATCGTTTCGGGACCTTTTGATCAATCCCCAAATGCGCCTGGTGTCCCTGGCACATGCGATGTCGCATTTCTGGTTCAAAGTTGAACGCAACAGATGAGACTTGCCACCATTCACCAGGCGTAAGACAATCACCGCAGCACAGCCGAATGCCATTTGTACCAAAGCTCATAGAGCAGAACGATTCTGGGTTGACCTCATGGCAATGGCTATCTCGAAGGAATCGACTTGAAGCTTATTTCTCTGGGATCGGTTGGAACCCTCGCAAGCATGCCGATGAGAAAGCCCTTTCACAGCATTGGCTCGCTGTGACTTCGCATTAGCTTGCCCTCTGTCATTTGAATTGTCATGCAAACAACAGCTCGAAGCCAAGGTTTCGGATGACCAACACCGAGCTCAAGCTCAAGCGCGAGCGTGGCTCTGCTGGTTGACTAAATCACCTCGCCGACTTGGGAGCTGTTTCGCTTGACTGGCGGCCAGGCATGATGGAAGCTTTCCAATCTGGAAAGACTGCGCTGGAGGACAGACAGCACCCACTCTGTGTGTCTGTGTGTGTGTCTGTGTGTGTGTGTGTGTGTGTGTGTGTCTGTGTGTGTGTGTGTGTGTGTGTCTGTGTTTGTGTGTGTGTCTGTGGGTGTGTCTGTGTGTCTCTGTGTGTCTCTGTGTGTCTCTGTGTGTCTCTGTATGTCTCTCAGGGGTACGGCACTAAATGGAGGCTTCTTGAAGCTTGGACTTGTGGACTTTTCGCGTGCTAGTTATGGACTTTGCCCATCCATGCAGAAACTGCTTTGCAGAATGCATTACGAGCGCTGCATTCTGGAGGCTTCGAAATAGACGCATCCAACCAGATAGCCTACCTTTGGTGCATTTTGCTTGGATGCTAGGACTTGTACTTTTTGAAAACTTTTGGCAGGGGAGCGGACTTAGAGCAACCGAGAAAACTGGTACATCCCTTGTCCTTTCAGTTTTTCAGGGTGGTTTGTTGGGTTACCCTAGTCGTGGTGCATGGAGCCATGCCTCAGGTTTTAGCCACCGAGCTACCCATTCCACGGCCCCCTGGCAGGACCTGCGGCTCCCGTACTTTTTGGCCTACGGCTCTGCGGTGGCCGCCCTGCGCGAGGGACAGTTTCAGCCGCGCCTGGGCGGAAAATGCGCCCGCCGCTCGAGAAGCCGCCTTGAAATGGGCGGCGCCATATGAGCCACTTGCTCACAACCCGGGTAGATGAAGCTTAGTAAGGGATAATCCCAGCCACAAATAGCTGTGGACGCCTTCTTGATTCTCTACATGGTTCTGGGTAGACCATTTTGATACCGGGTTTTGATTATGACTCATGTAGGACTCCCATGAAAGAGGCGGTGGACCACACAGGAGAATCTGACCATGGCAGATATACGCTGTGCATATAGGATATGCCTGTAGAATAAAGATCATATATATATATATATATACACATTGCATGTGTATCAATATTCGTTTCCATTTGTCCGCTGGCGTGGGCTGTTTGGGACCTCTAAGCCGTTTGGCACGGTACACGTTTGAGACAACACGCTTTGGCTGAGCGTTCTTTTAAGGGCCAACTTGCATACATCAAATGGACATACCCCGCAAATTGCGGGTTATACCGGGTACTTACCCCAAAGTCTATCCCTATATGAGGCCTAGAGGTGGGGTATGTCCGTTTGGGGTGTGTAAGTTGGCCTTTAGACTTCCGGAGGCACCTTTCAGTATCGCTTCTGGACCAACCCCTCGGCAGTGTTCAACCCATTCCGTCGCCCAAGTGCATTTAGCTAAAGCAGCAGGCCATTGCAGCCTTGCGTTCTACGCCCAGCAGTCTCAGGTCAACGCTTGTCATTTACACACAGTTCTCAATTGGCACAGTTGCTGATGGAGAAAAACATGGGCCCGGGAAAAACACAAGACAAACCTACAGGGTTAATTCCATTGCAGCTGGCCCGCGGTTTCTTGCCCCTCTGCCCTTCTAGTTTGCTCGTATCCAGAAGCTAGACCACCTTCACCCACCTTGGTTTCAAGTTTTCTCACAGCATACCGCACGAAAAGCCTCCGACTTGACGCGGGGCTTGAAATGAAAGTGTGCCGGCAGCAATGCGCACGAGTTGTGCCACCTTCTGCAGCCGTGAACGAAAATCAGTTGGAATTCTGAGGCCGGAGTGCGAAGTGTTGAGTTGCGAACTCCGCAGATGTCCAGAGCGCAAGTCTCTGCGGCTTCTAGCAGCACGTACTTGATGGAGTCCGCAAAGTGCTGAATGCGGTGTCAAAGAGAGGTCCAAACACAATCCCTCAAATTTGCTGCAAGCACGTCAGTCGACGTCTTTGGAGAACCCTAGTTTGACCTCACTTCTGGTAGGAGTGCCCCCCTGAGAGGCGTGCATGCATGGTTTTCCGGAAACCAGTATATTTCCATGTATCACTCAGTGTTGAAGGAGACATGGGATTGAGGCCCCCCAACTCGTTGCGTTTGAAGCGGTACGCGGTGTGAGTTCCGAGGTACGAGGACGACATTCATGTGGGTATCTATGCTTGGGATCTGGCAGCGTTGCAGCGGCAGTGCACAGAATGCTCCAAGCTTATGGCTTTTTGCAGAATAATAATCAGCAAGGTTCGATATGGGTGTGGCTCAAAATTAAGCAGGGTTACGCAGGTTTTGGTCCATGTTTCCACTAACCAGGGTTCCATTTTGGTACCGGTTTTTTGAGCCACAGCCATATGTGTCAAAGATATGCCACTAAAACCTAGATGCATTCGGACTCAGAAGATGAAACTCTAGTTCTGAGGCAGCATGTGTGAGAGCAAATTTACAATGCAAGCCCAAACCGGATGCATGTGCAAAGAAGATGTTGTGCTAAGGCACAGCAAAGGAGCGCGACAACTTGCTGAAGAATGTCTTTGAAAGGCCGCCTTGCTTTCTCGGCAGAGCGTTGGGAGCTTCGAAGCCGGGCACCGTGTGGAGGTTTGGCTTCGAACCAGTCCAGGAGATTGTGGAGAATCCAGCGCAGGCCGACGCAGGCTGCATATGCGCCATGAACAGAATGTGGACAGCTGAGGCTTCGCGGGGCAACGATGTGAAGCAGAACCAGGCCATTCAACAGTTTGCTCAAAATCCATGTATGAATCCACTGTGCCTAGCTCTCTCCCTCTCTCTCTCGCTCGCTCGCTCTGTTTGTTTGTGTTTGTGTTTGTGTGCGTGTGTGTGTGTGTCATGCCACAGAGCTTTTGGCCCTTTCAGGCAGTCACAGTTTGCCCTCGGTACTACATTGCAGAGGCCGAACAAGTTGCCAACTCCAGAGAAGGACCATATCTGCGAAAAGCTTGTCTGGCAGGGCTGGTCCGATGAAATGGCCTTTCCCATTTTGTACAAGTTCACACACAGAGACAGCTTCGTGCGCTTTGATCTCATGGATGCTCGTCAGAGAAGGAGAGAGAGAGAGAGGGAGTGTTTGGAGTGACTGAGATTTCGATTTTTTTGGTTACATGCAGCAACAAAGGTCTTTACCATGCAATTTGGTCAACTCTGGGACTTTGCTGATGGTGGTGCCGAGACCTCGTCAGGTGGCTTTGCTTGAACTCTTCGTTTGAAGTCACCGGATCCAGTTTTGGCCGCAGGCTGGCGATACAGCTTCTTGGCCAAATTTAAGGCTGGTGGCTGCCAGAATTACTGGGATTCCATGCTTCATATGTGTGGAATCCTGATTCCGCAAGGCGCAAGGAATCTTGAATACAAGCTTATCCCTTGAAGTGGGTATGGGTCAAAGTTAAACCACCAGGGAACCGCAGGTTTTGGTCCATGTTTCCATTTACCAGGGTTCCATATTGGGGTTACCCTATTTTTGACCCACACCCAAGTGCGATTTGCTGGATTCTCCGCCAGTTTTTGCAATGAATCCTGGGAATTTGCGCAGTGCCCCAGGTCCATTCTCCCCCCAGGCGGTGGAGTTTGGGAAGATCATGACCTTCACCATGCCGGCAGGTCCGCTGGAAGCCCACTACGGGCTTTTTGGGCTGCACCGAGTGTTTAAGTCTGTCCAATGGGGGTTGGGTTCAACCGGTTTGTGATACATAGGATGACCAGTGATTCGAAAATTGCCAAAAGGATGATACTTTCCACATGGCCATGGGTCAAAATCCAGATCGTACCAGTGAACATCCCAATCCAACCGCTAAAATAGGGTCTGAAATGGGTGGTGCACCTACCCCTGGTCATTGGGGGGCCGGGAATATTGACTTACGGTCGTGGATGGCTGACTGCATCCTTGCTACTTCTTTTTGCCTGGAGAGAGCTTTACAAGGAACAGGGTCCACAACCTGGACGTCAGGTTCCATGTTGATTGGTGGGGCAAATGGATCCAAGCTCAACCCTCTTACCGTGAAACTACTCTAAAGCCTAAGTGAGCTGTAAACGCAACCAAGTCACCACGGAGGTTGAAACACCTGGCAACCAAGCTTGAACCGGCCCAGGAACTCCAAGCTCAGGCACGCAACCAGAAGCCCCAATTGCACCAAGTGAAACATTCGAAACCAAGCTGAATCAGCTCTAAGCCAAGCCATCATTTGACCCACTCTGCCAAAACCAGCACATCCGAACCTGAATCGGCTTCTTTGAATAAGCAGAAGGCCCGCCGTGAATCCCAATGAAGAGACGTTTAGCCTACGCAAAACCATCAGCATCCTACCCAAAAGTCAAAAAGTCACTCTCAACCTACCCAAAACATCCGTATTTTGCACTTTGGTGCATCCTCAACTGTCAGAGTTGTGAACTTCCATTGCCAACGGCTGTAGGAGGCTCAGACATTGGATTGCTCGTCCTCTTTTTCCGGCTGGTCTCGAAGAGCCAGTGGGAAACACAATTCGCACTCATCTTTCTGGCAACTTCACTGGTTCAGGCACCAGCTGACCAGACCGCCAGCATGAGTCCTAGTTTTCCCAGCCCCCTTCCAGCCCCCTTCCAGCCCCCTTCCAGCCCCCTTCCAGCCCCCTTCCAGCCCCCTTCCAGCCCCCTTCCAGCCCCCTTCCAGCCCCCTTCCAGCCCCCTTCCAGCCCCCTTCCAGCCCCCTTCCAGCCCCCTTCCAGCCCCCTTCACCTGCCTGCAAGCCCCCCTGCAAGCCACCTTCAATCGCACCAGCCCCTCCCGCAAGCAAAAGCTTCAAGCCCGGGGCAGCCCTCATGCGTCCCCGCCGTTTTGGGGGAGCTTTTGGCTCAGCTCGGAGCGGACTGAAGCTGCTCTGAGGCCGGACTGGTACGTGCCCAAGGTCTACAGCTACGTCCAAAGCTTGGCGGGCTGCAAGAACCGATGCCAGGTGCTGAGGCCTGGGGTGGCTTTTTTTTGTCTTTGTTTTTGAGTTGGTACCTGTTCTTTTTGGTTGTTTTTTAAAGGGAAGCCCAAAAGGAAGACCGCCATGTCTGTTTTCTTGCCATGTGTTGTTAGTTTTTTTCCGACTTTTTTGGACACCCCCAGGGTTCATCCATTTGATGCGCGGATGAGAAGAGCCGAATTGCCAGCTCCAATGTCCTGGGAGGACTTCAGGCAGGGTCAGAGTTGGGATGGGATGCCCACTGAACAGATTTGATGTTTTCCCCTAAATGGAAAAAGTTCGCATGGTCAAAACTGGGGGCTCTAAAATGGAAGATTGATCAACCCCCACTCGAGCTGAGGCCGCTGATTCGCGGATATCGAATGCTTTATGCCAAGTCCCTGGCGGCCCGAAGCTTGGAGTCCCTGCCAGCCGAGCGAAGCTCTCAGATTTTCTTGAGGACTCGGAGCATGAGTACCCCGAGAAGAAGCTGGACTTGTACAAGCTGGAATCCAAGCCGGTGGTGCTCTTTCAAGCCGCCAGCATCTGCAGCTCGACAGAAGCAAAGCTTTGCCCTGGCAATGGGATGGGGCTTTTCTGTTCAAAGGGACAGAAGCAAAGCTTGTCCTGGCAATGGAAGGGGGGGTTTTCTGTTCAAAGGCACCTTGTTGCCCTTGCTGTCAGGCAAAGAGGAGGGCACCGCCACGCGGCTGCACAATCGCTTCTGCACAAAAAACGCCACTGTACTGCTACCAGCGGAGGTGAGGCTAAAAGATGGGAAGCACAGCGCTGCGCTTGACAAGTACGAGGAGGGCCTGTACATCATAGACAAGTGCAGAGAGGCACGCGCTTGCGTGCATGCATGCGTGCGTGCCCGCTCGTGGCCTCAAAAAAGCTGTCTCAGGTATTGCTGACATGGCGGCTGATTTTTCGTCAGATTCACAATGAGAAAGCAGAGAAGGACAGAAAAGATAGAGGCGTGTACTGGCGCTGTCATGTTATGTGACTTGTAATGTGATATGAACAACTGCGCAGTGCTGGTCACATTCGCTTCCTAGGCTTGAAAGTGTCAGATCTGATGGAGGCAGACATGCCCCGTGTCCTGGCTGAAAGGCAGAGGTGCATTTTGCTTGGATGTTAGGACTTCTTTTGCCAACTAATGGGTTTTCCATTAAGCCACCAAAAGTTAGACTTTTAGCAGACGAGCAGAAAGCAACCGAGAAGGCGCGATACGTTTTTGCGGTCTTTGGCATCTCTCCAGGCGAGTTCCGGGGCGACGAAGATGAGGAGCACTCCCTTCGTCTGGCTTTGCTGCTGAACGCAGCACAGGCGGCCCTTCAGTGCCGTGGCGGTTTGCCTTCGGCGCGCTGCAGCCCGAAAACGATTGAGCTGTAGCATCTCAGGTGCCAAAAATGGCAGGCGGTGGAAGGTCATGCCACCGCAGCTCTGGAGTTAGAGCCGCGAAACCGGAGTCTTGGATTGTGATGGGAGTGTACTGGGAGCCCTACCACCTGAGAGCTCAGGAAGGCATTGTATCGTCGAGGCCTTGCAAGATCATCTTCTGAAGATGTGGAGGCAGGCGTCTTGCTGTCAGCCGGGAGACATTCTGGAGCTGCCACGCTTGCACGCATGTGACAGGGAGCCAAAGCTGACTTTTGGGCACTGCTGAAAGCATCTGGCTTCGACAGCAAAGTGCCTGAGCTGATCTCTTTTCTGCATGCCTTGCGATGCAGCGGAGTCTCGAAAGTGCAATATCAGCTGCAAGGAAGCCCTAAGCCAACTCATGAAGCTTATGCCGAAAGAGGAGGTTCAAAAGCAGCAGCTTGCCTGACAGGGATGGCTCACATTTTGGTGCGTGACACCATACACGGGTAGCATTTGAGGTTCAAGAAGCTGCAAAAGGACTCGCAGAAAGAACAGAAGGTTGGTGCTATGCTGAAGGAGCTTGCACGTGACATTATCATAGCATGGCATGTTCCACGCTGCATTCTCAAGCAGGAGATGGACGAGGACGAGAGGATTATGTTGCAAGACGAGCGCGCCTTGTCTGCATGAACCAACCCTTGATCCTGATCATGTTCTCGTTTTTATTTTTATTTTTTATTCCCCAGATAGCTGAAAGCTATAGGGGTTCTAACTTCTAATATAGAAGGAAAAGTGATTTGCGAGATTGAGGGCCGGGTGCTAGGGGGCATGCAGTTTGGGGTGCTGGTGGAGGTGCTGCTTTGCGAGCTTGACGGCCGGGTGCCAGGGGGCATGCAGCTTGGGGTGCTAGTAGTGGAGGTGCTGTTTTGCGAGAGTGATGGTCGGGTGCTAGGGGGCATGCAGTTTGGGGTGTTGGTGGAGGTGCTGTTTTGCGAGATTGACGGCCGGTGGCATGCAGTTTGGGCTGGCGGAGGTGCTGTTTTGTGAGAGTGATGGCCGGGTGCTAGGGGGCATGCAGTTTGGGGTGTTGGTGGAGGTGCTGTTTTGCGAGAGTGATGGCAGGGTGCTAGGGGGCATGCAGAGGTGCTGGGGCCGGGTGCTGGTGTGAGGTGCTGTTTTGCGAGAGTGATGGCCGGGTGCTAGGGGGCATGCAGTTTGGGGTGTTGGTGGAGGTGCTGTTTTGCGAGAGTGATGGCCGGGTGCTAGGGGGCATGCAGTTTGGGGTGTTGGTGGAGGTGCTGTTTTGCGAGAGTGATGGCAGGGTGCTAGGGGGCATGCTGCTAGTGGAGGTGCTGTTTTGCGAGAGTGATGGCCGGGTGCTAGGGGGCAGGCAGCTTGGCGTGTTGGTGGAGGTGCTGTTTTGCATGGCCGGGTGCTAGGGGGCATGCAGTTTGGGGTGCTCGTGGAGGTGCTGTTTTTCGAGAGTGATGGTGGAGGTGCTGATTGACGGCCGGGTGCCAGGTGTGCAGTGGGTGCTGGTGGAGGTGTTGCTTTGTGAGAGTGATGGCCGGGTGCTAGGGGGCATGCAGTTTGGGGTGCTAGTGGAGGTGCTGTTTTGCGAGAGTTGGCCGGGTGCTAAAGGCATTCAGTTTGGGGTGTTGGTGGAGCTGTTTTGCTGTTTTGCGAGAGTGATGGCCGGGTGCTAGGGGGCATGCAGTTTCGGGTGTTGGTGGAGGTGCTGTTTTGCGAGATTGACGGCCGGGTGCCAGATGTAGTTCGGGGTGCTGGTGCTGTTTTGCGAGCTTGACGCAGTTTGGGGTGGTGGTGCAACTGCTGTGTTGGGTTGCCGGGGTTCTAACTTCTAATGAAGAAGTGGGATTGTTTTGCAAGATCGACGGTTGGGAGCTAGGGGGCATGCGCTTTGGGGTGCTGGCGCAGGTACAGTTTTGAGGTGCTGTTCGGGCTGGTGACAGTACGTGACGGCAAGGTGCTCGGTGCTCGGGGACCTGTCCAATGCTGGTGCGGGTGCTGCGTTGGGGTGCTGTTGGGGCTGCTGTCGTGAGGTGTTGGTGACGGTGTGGGCGCATATGGACGGCAGGGTGCTAGGGCGGGTGCTGTTTCATGATGCCGTTGAACCGGTTCGGACGTTGTTGCTGCTCTAGTAGTCTAACAGTCGTTTGTCATGGTGCGTGGTTCGTGGCTGGTGTGTCATCATGATGTTGTCACCCGCGTCATGATGCTGCTGTCACTGCGATGCTGCGATGCTGCGTTATGGTTCGTGGGTGTGGTGGCGCCATGATTGCTGCCAACATCAGGATGATGCTGAATTTCACTACGCTGTCGCGAGAAGATTCGTGGCTGTTGTATCATCATGATGCTGCCTTTTCAATTTGACCATTACCATGATGCTGTTCGCATCACCATGATGCTGTCCGCATCATGGTGGCGCTGTCCGCATGATCGTGATGCTGTCCGCATCATCATGATGCTGTCGAACTCATCAGGACGTCGTCTCTGCCTTTTTTCTGCTAGATATGTGGCGCGGAATCGTTCGTTGCTGGATGCTGTCAACATCATCATTTTTGGTGCTGAATTCATTAGGACGCTGTCTTCGTGTCTATTTAGCGCACATGCTGAGTGGCTGTGGTATCATCATGATGCTTTCAACATCATCATGATGCTGTCAACAACATCATGATGCCTCGGGAACCATTATGATGCTGCATAATGGTTTGTAGCCGTGATGTGCTATCTGGGGTCTACGCTGGTGTAATTTTATTTTTTTGTTTGTTTTCCTCACTGATGTGTTTCTCTCTTGCTCATTGCCTTTTGTTCCTCTTTGTCGCTTCCTTTCTTTTACTTTACTTTTTTTAGGCCCCCGCAAAAAAGTGGGTTTTCCTTTAAATGTCCCTTTTCAGCACAAACAAATGGGTGCCAACTCAAAAAAGAAGAGCCAGCCTTGCGTCAATTAATCAACCCCGCTTTTGGAGGGGCTAAAACCCCCCCACTAATAAACTTGGGTTGATAATCTGGGGTCAACATTACGTCAGGTGCGTCTGTTTTTTGTTAGGCCCCACCAATTCTCATCAAAAAGGCGAGCCGTGCGTCAGCTTGGATAACTAATGGGTTTTCCATCAAACTTCTAAACGTTGACTTTTAGCAGGGGAGCAGAAAGCAACCGAGTCAGAAAACCACCCTCCCTATTCAACTTGGGAAACGGGCGCCAATTTATCAAAGAGAAGATCCATGCGTCAGGATTCAGAAAACACTAAACGTGGTCTAACCAACGCCGAATCTGGCCGAATTTCGCATAATCCTAGACCACATCTAGACCATGTTTAGCGTTTCCCTAAGGATATCAGCGCTTTCTGGGGGACTGCGAGCAAAGAGCCGCCGACGGGCAGCGGCAGCTGACCTTCGATGAGTGGGCCCAGCAGTGCCTGGCTCAGGCGCTCAGGCGCTCAGGCGCTCAGGCGCTCAGGCACTCGCGCGCGACGGAAAGGGCGGGCGGTGCAACAAGCGAATCGTTTGGTTCTTTAGGTCTTCATTGCTTTTTCGCTGGTTTTGAGTGGTTTTTACTTGGTTTCGTGGTTGAGTTTCCAGTAAACCACGAGTGAGCTGGCATTGCGATTCTGCTTCGGGCCATTAGTGCCTTCTTCGGACAGTTCAAAGGTATGAGTGGCGCTACGATGCTGACGAGAGGTACAAGGTGCAAAATTTGCTGGCTGACGTGTTGCGGTTCTTGGTCACACAATGCAGTGGTCCTTTTCGAGGCTCGCAAAGCGTTTCCAGAGTGCTTCAGTCATACTGGGCCAGCTCCGCTCCCCGTTGAGGATTGGGAGGCTGGCAGCGATCACAGTGCACTCAGAGTTGTGTTGGTTTCATCTCCAGGTGGACTACTTGACCCACAAAGAGATTGAGAAGATCATGCACCAATGACTTTTATGGATCAAAATACCACGGTTTTATCCGGAAATGTCCCTGTATTTGGTGGTCAATACCAAGGTGGTGTATTCCTAGGGTGTAATACAACTTGACTGCTATTGGGTTGAATTTTAGACTTTGACTTTTTGGGAAATCAAGGGGCTTCCACTAAACCCTCCAAAAAGTTAAACTTTTTGCAGGGGTGTCAACAGCAACCAAGACAAGAAGCCCTTAGACGTTTCCCCACGTCATGAGTTGTTAGTGGAAAGCACCAGAGGTACAGGCGCCAGACAGAGGCCTTAGGGGCCCGGAGACGGAAGGAAGAGCCAAAGGAGATCCAGGCACGGAGATGTCGAACGGGTGATGAGGTGTATCTTCGACATTTGTTTCTATATGGCCATGGGTCAAAATCCAAATCGTACCCCCAGTGAACATCCGATTCAATCCAACCACTACAATGGGTTCTAAAATTTGGGTGGTGAATTCACCTACCCCAAAATGGGATCCCAAAACGGTTTTGACCCACAGCCATATCAGGTCTTGTTCAAACACTCTGCCCCAACATCTGTGGCAGATGACCCGAAGCCCAAGGACTTGTTTCTCGGAAGCTTGTCGTTGCGCCTCCAAGATCAGAGAGTCGGATGCCTTCCCATGGCACCTGCTGCATGCGCCGTAGCGCCGTAGGGAAATTCTCAAAAGTGGCCGTGGATGCAAATCCGCTTGTAGATGATGTCCAAGGGTATGGGATCCGTGAAAATGCAACACTCGTAGCTAAAGTGGCAACCAAAGAGTAGCTAAAGTGGCAACCAAAGGTGATGTTGGCAAACTGGGATCAAGAACTTTAGTGAGCGCTTAGACTTCCGTGCTTCGTTGAGTTTGGTTGATCGTGTCGAGCTCTGGGACCTCCCACCCACCCTCCCTCCCCCCTATTCCCGGCCAACTACAAGACACAGCAGAAACTGGCCTGGTTTTGGCTTATTTGTCAGCGGATTGGGCAAGCTGCTTGATGTAAATTCCATTCCCTATCAACATTGCACTTTGTATGTGCTGCCCTGGAAGGAAGATACTGACAAGTTTCACAGCAAGCTGCATCTCGACAAGGAGGATGAGATCATCCTCCGGGATGCTGTGGTCAAGAAAGGCCTTGGCATAGCGAGGCATGCAGTCATGAGACCGGTCCACAGACCTCTCCGCAGGTTACAATTATTGGTGGTGATGGATCTGTGCGTCAGTTCCAAGCCAGTGAGAGCTTTTGACGGAAGCTCAAAGAGAATCATCCCATGGCCCATAAGCCCCAGGTGGATGTGCAGAGGCGTTGAGATGCTCAGAAAGAGCACCGAGACTGCCTCGAAAAACGGCAGCTTCCAAGCTGATCGCAAGCTCGGCAGAAGCTGATCGGAGCTTGCACAGCGTACGGATCAAACCTGGCCAGGTTCAATGATCCACGCTCTGCATTCGACAGCTGCATTGCACCCCAGTTTTGATCAGCTGGGGTTCCCGTCCCTGGCAGTTTTCATGTGTACAGCGAAGTGCGATCAGTGTGACAATCAAAAATGCTGAGCAATCGGCTCAATCAGCCCTCAGCTGCACAAGCCTTTTCACTCTCTTGGCAGGCAACAGTCCAAAACTGGATGGCAACCTTCCAGCTGTATCGCATCTATGCAACTCAGATGCATCGAGGGCAGTTGTTGAGTGTGACAGCATGGGCCACTCCGTGTCGCCAAGACTTGCTAAGACCGCCTGGGTGTTTTTCCCTTGGCAATTCCTCTGTCTCTTTGCGACGTATCCTAAGGAGAAGCAGATGGCGCTGGCAAGAGTCAGGTGGCCTAGTGCGCTGGCAAGAGTCAGCCTGGCCGAGAAGCTTATGCAAGGCTTTGCGAGTTGCCCAGGTTGGTGTCGAGTGGGACCCGTGGAAGATTGCGGAAGAGAATGCCATGTCCGAGAGATGACCAAAGAGCTGAGTGCACATGTCAACTAGGAAGGCTTTGGGAGGAAGGTCAGGGTGGCACTTGTCATGCTGCTGGATTTGACTTCAAGCCCGTCAAGGGCCGGTGCTTGCATCTCAGCAACGGCATTTCTGCTCAGCTTCACTCAGCATCATTGCTAACTGTGCGCCAGAAATATAAGCAGCTTCACCTTCCATCCGTTCCAATCATGCATTGCTTGCCGCATGGCACGCACACCACACTATGAGCCTCGAGCTTAGAACATGTTTGCCAGTTAATTGGCTTGGTGTTCTTTCACATTGCTGTAGCCATGCATGACCCAGGCCAAGCAGGTAACCGGCCTGGCACAGTTCACATAAAGGCCTGGTGTGATGGCAGCTGTAGCACACACACACACAGAGACACCCACCCAACCACCCACCTACGCATGCCCGCCCGCCGCCCGCCGCACGCCCCGCCCGCCGCCCCACACACGGACACACAGACACACCAACACACCCCACACTCACACAAACACACCAACGCACCCGCGCGCGCGCGCACGCACGCACACGTGCACGCACGCACACGCACATGCGTGCGCGCCCACGCCCATGCGCACACGCACGCGCACCTGCACGCGCACGCGCACCTGCACGCGCATGCGCACACGCACACGCACACGCACAGGCATATGCACACGCGCTCGACGCACGAACACGCACACGCACACGTACCCGCGCTCCCTCCCGCCCACCCACCCACGCACGCACACGCGCGCCGTCCCGACCGGCCACCCACTCAAGCGCGCACAGACACACAACACAACACAACGCAACACATCACAACACAACACAACACAACACAACATTACACAACACAGCAGTACACCACACACACACAGACACCACACACACACACACATAGACACCACACACACACACACAAAGACACCACACACACACACCAGACACACACTCACACAAAACACACACAACACACACAAACACACCCACACCCACACCCACACCCACACCCACACCCACACCCGCACGTGCACGTGCACGCGCACGCGCACGCGCACGCGCACGCGCACACAGGCAGCCACGCACACACGCACACACACGCACACACGCACACACGCACACACACGCACACACACACACACGCACACACACACACACACGCACACACGCACACACACGCACACACACACACACGCACACACACACACACACACACACACACGCACACACGCACACACACACGCACGCACACACGCACACACACACAGACACACACACACACACACACAGACACACACACACACACACACACACACACACACACACACACACACACACACACACACACACACACACACACACACACACACACACACACACACACACACACACACACACACACACACACACACACACACACACACGCACACACACACACACACGCCCACGCCCACGCACGCACGCACGCACGCACGCACGCACGCACGCACGCACGCACGCACGCACGCACGCACGCACGCACGCACGCACGCACGCACGCACGCACGCACGCACGCACGCACGCACGCACGCACGCACGCACGCACGCACGCACGCACGCACGCACGCACGCACGCACGCACGCACGCACGCACGCGCACGCACGCACGCACGCACGCACGCACGCACGCACGCACGCACGCACGCACGCACGCACGCACGCACGCACGCACGCACGCACGCACGCACGCACGCACGCACGCACGCACGCACGCACGCACGCACGCACGCACGCACGCACGGACGCACGGACGCACGCACGCACGCACGCACGCACGCACGCACGCACGCACGCACGCACGCACGCACGCACGCACGCACGCACGCACGCACAGAC